GCTTGGCATGTGTGCAAGGATTTTCATCGCAAATTCAAAGCTTCATGAGGTTTACTATTTGGCAGTAGATTAAGAGGTTTTTTTTTATATAAGATACTGATAATTTGATACGGGTGACCAGAGATCATGGGAGTGTATCACTTATCTATACAAGGAATAAAATGTAAGGAATTATGCAAAAGGTTCATTGTAAATTTAAAATGCAAATAAAATGAGTGTTTAATGATCTAATAGTAATGTCAGTAATAATACTTATTCCACTGTGATCTTTGTATCTTAAGTATAAATTATAAATAATTAGAATATATTGGTCAACTTAATAAAGAGTGGTCAGCTTGATTGTGTCTCTCTCTGGTTGCCTTACATGTAATACAGGTTTGGTAACACGGCCACTCCCCATAACTTCTGACTTGCTATGGAAAGGAAGGGTGTTTCTCCCTGGAAGAGTAAATTAAATCTGGAGCATTATATCGAGTAATAAAGCACAAAATAATACAAGTAAATTGGGTCAATCTGGTAAAGACCATGGGATTCTAGGAGCGGTCCTCCTAAAAACCTCTCACATACAAAAAGCATATGATGAGGTTGACAAGTAAATTATTCTATAACCAGACGAATAATATGGGCATTATAATAAGCGGTGAATTGTATCACATGTTTATGATATAATCCTTGATATAATCTGCATCTATATTTGTAAAATACTGCAAGAGGTTCACAATTTATGATATTTGAAAGAATGTGTATAACATCTACTATCGATATTATATTTTATTTATTCAACAGTTAGCAGCACCATTAAGGCTAAATAAAGGAGACTAGGCCTTTTTTTCGGGAAATGTTTACTGTGACGTCATGCAAAAAATATCAGTTCTTCAACACTGAAGTTGTTTAATTTACCTTTTGTAAACAAATTTATTTTTTTTTTTATTTAGGCTAAATACCTAAAACTTGTTATTACTAGTAAAATTATATTCTGATTCTATAAGCTTATATTTGTTTATTTAAAAGTACGTTCATGTTTGGGTTGTCTTTTTACAGTATAGATGATATATTTAAGAAACATTCTTATGTTTGTTTTACTCTATGTTTTATCGATATGATATGATAAATTGTTTTTATTATTGAATTTATCAAACATTGTACCAAAAATTAATGCCATTTGTGCATTAAACTATTGATTCATAGGAGTTGTGTGTTTTTCAATTTATTCCGTGGTATCTTCTAAAATTCGGTCGCAAAATGACCGCAAATTTATGTATTTGCAATTTGCGTAAATCTTGCAGCTGTTAAATTTGAAATGATGGAGAACCCTGAAGATCAAGAATATTTTTCAGGTGGAGTAACTATACTTGAAATTCAAACTTATAAAATGTTAATTCTAGATAAAGCAGCAGCATTTTACAGAAAGCACAAGATGTATAAAAAGAATTTATGAATTTACAACAGTGTATGAATGAGGGTTTTCCTTTGCGATCTTGAATTTATTTTTATGGCCTCCATACAGTACACATTAGGTGCATTTATCAAGTGACTGTCAAATCAGTTGACCATTTTAAATTAACTACAGACTGGGATTTTACAATGTTATTTCAATAAGTATTATTTTTTAAATATAATAATAGCACTACAAAAAAAAAAATACAGATTAAATTTTGTGCCCTTTTACATTCCTTATGTTTCTTCATAGCGTTCCTTAATAATGCTGCGTTGTCTTCAAAAATACCCTGAAGCAATAGTCCCATATTTTACTTACTTGAAACCTAGGATACATCTGTGCTATTTTATATCAATCTTCTCTCCAACAATAGAAAATAAACATATTATCTTGGATCTCTCATTGGATATTTCCTCCTATTTATTTACGTTCATTCTCTCTTGCGCAATTTTCCTCTCTATTTCTTGGTTTCAGACATCAGGAATTTTAATATTCGAAATCTATTTTTTTTTCTTTTTTTTTTTTTTTTTTGATTTATAATTTTATAATTTATATTTTGAATTACTTATATTTCTCCAACCAGTACTTTTTTGTCTGTGATCATCTGTTATCTTATTTTGGTATTTGAAAGATATTTTTTGCAAATGTTTGAGCATATAAGTTTGTGATGTCACAATTAATTACTAAAAGAATAACAATCATATTTTATTAATACGTTTGTGTCTTTGAAGAAAATTGATAGAAATATTTCCTTTATAGGATATATTAATTTTAGATTGAATATGAATAAGCGACACATGTAAAAAAAAGGCAAATTCTTAAATACGTTTAAAACTATAATCATATTTGGAAATTAACGTTGTATACATTCTTTAGTGTTCAGTTGCAAATTAGAAGAAAGAAAGAGCATGATCCTTATAAGTCATACGTTTTGTTCAGTTTATTTTTCAAGGCTATGGTTGGGACTATCAGTCCGAGTTAATATCTGTTTACTACTTTAGTAAGATAAACATAAATTCTAAATATCAAATATAAATTTAAAAAAAAATCTGCCAAAACTCTTACTCAGCTACGTTAAGGAAGGATTTAGTTCACATCTGTGATGCATCGCATGGGAAGTTTCATTGTGACGTCATTAAAAATTTAACAAGGGACAAAAATCTATTTAACCACATGATAATGCGTGAATAACAACTTGCATTCATTTATTTTATCAATTATTTATAAAAGCATGTAAAATCACAATATTTGATAATTATAGTGATGAGTTATCAGAAGAAAATCTTGTGTCTTAAATGACGTCACTAGTCTTGACTTGACGCAGTACAAGTGATCCAGAGGAGTGGATCCATTGCTTTAATGATTACAAAAATGCTTTAATAAATATCAGTCCATCATCAATGTTTAAATCTAATCAATAAAATCAAAAGGAAATAATTTATTTAAAACAGTGATGTAGATTATTAATTTATTTAGGTGCTATGGAGCTGCACAAAGACAAAGAACGTTAAGAATATCGCTAACACGATAAGTGTATACCTGATTAATCTCAAAAGTGGAAGGCCATAGACTAGACTGTTTGAATTGAAATATGGAATATCAATTGCTTACATCATGTATACTTTGAAAATGCTGGGAGCTGAGCTGGACGGCATAACATTATTTTTATTCATGACAGAATTTAAGCGGGGTGGAATTTTTTAGCTATTATATGCATTTTCAGCAAAATTAGTATTTCCGAAACAGCTCAAACTAGCTCCGAGCACTTTTTGGGAAGCCAATTTAAATCTTTTTCTTAATATGTATAAATTTTTTTTCCCTCCAAAAACATGCGTATGCCCTTGCACTAGCCTCATTTTCTAAATTAAAATCTCCTAACACTTGACCTAAATATAGGTGATCTTTACTCGTTTCAGTTTCTGATGTTCTTTTTACTGTTTTCCAGAATATAATTGTATAATGAAGTGATGTAAGTACTTAACCTGTTGTCGTAAAATTGATTTGCTTTCATTGTCTACAGAAAGCGGCAAATAGTCTAAATTGCAAAAGTACTTCTGGCTCTGTTATCATTTATCATTTCTTCTACAGAAAAAAAAAACAAGTTAATGATATAATCAAAAGCATTTCTGTGATATAATTATGTTATCTTTTTGGCTCAGTGTAAGTACAGGGTGTTTCAGAAAACATGCAACCATTTACTTTCCTTACTTTATTTATATGCAAACAGTAACATTTGAAATTTTTATATAAATTTATGCTAAAAAGGCTAAAGTTTTTATTGATAACAAAAAGTTAGAAAAAAAATACCATTTGAATTAATTATGACGTCATATTTGATATCACTGAATCCCCCCCCCCCCCGATAATTTCACTCTTAATGTTGAATTTAATAAAAAGCAATCATCAGGATTTCCGATACTGCTTTATCAGAGCATGTCACCAGTTCCTGTGATTAGGACAATGATAATAAGGTTTACAGAATGCAAAGAACTTACTTATAGTAACATAAAGTGGAAGTTGTATAAATCTGTAAAATTTTGAAGTTAATGGAAGAGTTAATGCATGATCAAAGAAATTTAAAGGAAAAAAAAATGAAGAAAAGGACAATTAGAACACATGAAAACATTTATAATGTTACAAAAGAGGGATTGTTCCAGAGACTCACATGAAATCCTTTTGTAAAATAACTGAGTTTGGGAACAAATTAAGCAAGTCAAGTGTAGATCAGATGCTGAAAAAAATGTTTTGAACCTTAAACCTTGGACTTGTTAGAACAAATGTTTGGAGGACCATTCAATTCTTTCAAATCCGTTAAATTGGGTCTCCACACTCACCTGACTTAACACCCCTTGACTTTTATCAGTGGGGATATTTAAAGGTTAAAGTTTATAAAATACGCCCCCCCCCCCCAAAAAAAAAAAAAAACCAAATGAACTCAAAATGGTTCGAAAAATGAGACCTGATTCACTACCAAGAGACTCTCCGCAATAGTAATGAGGGATTGTTCCAGAGAATCGCATGAAATCCTTTTGTAAAATAACTGAGTTTGGGAACAAATTAAGCAAGTCAAGTGTAGATCAGATGCTGAAAAAATGTTTTGAACCTTAAACCTTGGACTTGTTAGAACAAATGTTTGGAGGACCATTCAATTTTTTCAAATCCGTTAAATTGGGTCTCCACACTCACCTGACTTAACACTTAAAATGGTTCGAAAAATGAGACCTGATTCACTACCAAGAGACTCTCTGCAATAGTAATGAGAACTTTCTTGCATCGGATAGATTTAGGCATTCAGCAAAAATGACGCCATTTAGATCATATTTTGTAACTAAGTAAAATTTAACAAGTTTCTTTTTTCTTTTGTAATTCATTATCTATTTGCCATATTAACTTTATTTTCGTAAGAATAAATCTTGAAATTGTGACTTTTAATTTGATATGTTGGGGCATGGTATTGGTTGAAACACCAGTAAAATTTAATCAATGAAAATAGTTGCATGTTTTCTGAAACACCCTGTTATACTTAATACATCAAGTACTTTTAAGTATTGATGTTTTTGCACCCCACTTAGTTTGATAAATCCCAAAACATCTCTTTATACACCTTACATGTATGACATCTTCTGATTGAGGAAATCCCCAAACGTCTCTATATATACCGTACGAAATCTCTGATTGAGACACCGCATTGTTCTGTTCTGGTAAGTTCACGTCGAAATTGAAAAGACGATGTTTTCCATTCTTTTACTGCTTTTTATGTCAATATCACAAGTCAGAACGGGGTCGTTGTTAACCGGTATGTATGATCCGAACTCTACGGCTTTGATCAATGAAAGAAGTGACATAAAGGAAATCGACGTTCTTCGGCAGATCATCAATCAAGAAACTCTCATCCGTTTAGCCGTGGTGAAGGATGTAAAGGCAGTAGAGGACGATGTTACTTCTGCGAACCGAAGCATGCCTTCTACAGAAACGATGGTCTCCACGCTACAGCAGACATTAGAATCATTTAAAAGTCAGAATGATTCTTTAAATCGATACAGTACTTTAGCACAGAAAGTAGAAACATTACAAAGGCAGGTTTATACAATACGGCAGGACAAAACTTAGGAGCAGAGAAAGACAGATTGGTACTCTTAGTCAGGATAACGCTTTACAACGTAAAATAGAAACATTACAAAGAAAGGTTGATTCTCTGACTGATAGACAGATAAAAGAAAACAAGAATTGGCAGAAAAAAATTCAGGAAATTGAACAGAAGTTTAATAGAAACATCGCCGAAGTTTACGAACTTCTAAATAACAGAACGTTGGAAACCGTTAAAAGAGGTACATACACACACACAAACACATACTCTTTCTCTCTCCCTCTCTCTCTCACACACAGATATTATTGTAATTATTATTATTATTATTTATTTATTTTATTATTATTATTGATTTTATATTCGCGTCTTTTGTTATGTAGATTTAAAACTAAATGTGCATTGTAAGGACCACTTTCTAGAAGGACACACACAGTCTGGTGTTTATAAGATAAATCCCTATGGAAACGAGAGTCAGATCAACGTGTACTGTGACATGGTGACTGAAGGTGGAGGGTGGACAGTAATATATATATCTCTCTCTCTCCTTCCACCCCTCTCTCTCTCTTATTTCTATTGAATACAAAAAAATAATAAAACAAACGATACTGTAAATTCAGCATATTTATATTCTATTGATAATTTGCAGGCAATCCAGAAACGCGTGAGTGGATCAGTGAGTTTTAACAGAACGTGGGCGGAGTACAAGAGTGGGTTCGGGAGCGCTGACGACTCTTACTGAATTGGTAAATATTTATATGCAGTTGTTATAATCTTAAACAATATCTATTGATATGTATCTGTTGATATATTGAGGAAAGTAATTTTACTTATTAATAGGTAAACTTTTGTAAATTATATCTATTTGATTTAGTATGAATTTTCAATATCAAAATTCAAAATATATATTTTATTATCGAAATCCAACAATTCAGCAATGAAACGCATTTATTGCTCACTTATGAGGTATCTATATAAATGATTTTTATTAAAGATAGACAGTCATGAACTTAACATATGTTGACCTTTTGAATGCACATTATATACCTACTATTTCAAGTACTTCTTTCATATTGAACATTTAAAATAGCAATTTGTAGGAAATGACGCTGTTCACCAGCTGACCAAAGGATGGAACTTATCCCTCTACGTCTCCATTGCATTACAAAATGGTACAACTTTTTATGAACTATATCACCAGTTTTCCATTAATGATGAGGCAGACAACTACAAACTTCTCCTGGGAGGACCAGCTACTGGGACCTTAGGTAAGTAATAAGTAAAATCGTGTCTGACTATCAATAAAAAATGGAAAGGAAAGGGAAAACGGAGAGAGAGATAGAGAGAGAGAGAGAGAGAGAGAGAGAGAGAGAGAGATCTAATAAAAATCAAGCATGCTCTATCTATTTTAAAAAATCTGTTATTTCAATTTAACATTAAGTCTTCTGCCAGTAAAATATGTATCAATCACTGTTCGTTTCCTTCACCTTTTTAACACATCTAACATTTGGATTTTATTCTTTCAAGATTATTTCTTTGTTCTCCTTAGTTTAGAAAAACATACAGTTTTATATTTGGGCCAAATTATTTTCAGGGTACAGCTATTATTTTAATGTTTTCAAAACTTTTTAATTTTCCGCGAAGCTACAAAAATTAGTATAAATGGAAATGTTCTTTGGATTAACCATATTTTCTTTCAAAAAAAAAAAAAAAAAAAAAAAAAAAAAAAAAAAAAAATGAAAAAAAAAAAGATTCTTTAAAAAAGACCAATGCCCGATTTCATGCTCAATTCTTTTCAATGAATTATCCACCGACATTTTGTAAAATATTCTTATCTGTCAATATTGTTTTTTATAAGTTACACTCTGAACAATAAAACCCTTTCTTTTACATTCATTTAATCCTATGTTGTGCCACCTGACTTAATAACCTAATATCAAAGTAGGGATTCAACACGTGGATCTATCGTGAAAATAAATAAAAGATCCGGCGAGAGATATAAAACATCGGAAGGATAAGCTGTTATTATGTTCGTCATTTTGATGCATTGCTATTTAATGAGCTACTAACGCAGTGTAAATTTGTTTTGAATCTGGAAAAAATAATACAAAAAATAATAATAACTACATCACACTTAATGATAATAATCCACATATTTCCTTTAAATTCTACGGGTGACATTATGTTAGACACTGTTTATCCTACTTACCACGATCTGTCTGGGATGTACTTTAGTACCCCAGACAGAGATAACGACAGGGCTGGATATAACTGTGCTGCATACTTTGGAGGAGGCTGGTGGTTTAATGCCTGTCATGGCGCTTATTTCACTGGTCCCTGGAACTCGTCAGCCTGGTCCAATCTCTGGTGGCCTAAAGTGTCAGATGGAACATCTGTAAAGGAGATGATAATAATGATTATGCCTCATCAAGCGATTTCTGTTCTTTTTTTTTTTTAATTTTCGTGTGAAATAAATACCAAAATATAATTAAAGAATGACAAAAAATAAATATTTAAAAACAAATGTCCATCCTGAGATTATTAGATAACGTACATGCAAAGCAGCAAAGACAAGCAAAAGCCACCCTTAAGTCAAAAATGTGACATTTTGAGGTGTTTAGTGATCCTGATACAAAAATTTTTCCTCTTTAAAATGATATATAACAGGTCATTGTTCATAAACTAAAACAAGTGAAAATTTAAAATAAAAAATACAAATTCTATGTCATGACTCTGTGTTTTATGGGAAAACGTCATTTATTTTATTCTCACATTTGCATGGTTGCGTTGTAAAAAGAAAAATTACCTCGACTACAGATGACATTACATATGTGTTTATTATTCAATTACTTAGTTATTGTGCTGTTTTATGATCGATAATTTTAGCATGTCAGAAGAATTTTAGGTTTCTATACCCCCCCCCCCCCTTAAAAAAGAAATCCCAGACAAGAGATATCATTTTGTTTTGCTTCTCTTTTTAATTTTGTTTTTAATCTTTTTTCAGCTTAGTTTTTAATTTCTTTTTCTTTTTTTTTTTTTTTTTTTTGGGGGGGGGGCAATTTTATTGTGCCTTTATATGGTCTGAAATTGTAAAGATCTCTTTACAGAAACAAATTCTGTTTAAAAAATGTATTTATTTTTGCCCTTGCATATTCCGAAGATTTCTCCATAGTAAGCCTTTACAGTGCTGCTCTGTCTTAGAAACTAGCAAGAGCAACAGCATTTTACTTACTTGAAATTTTACTTGAACTAGGGATATATCTGTTCCATCTAATAAAATATTATAGATTTAACTATCTTTTTCTTTTTTGCTTTATGAATTTTTCCTTATTATTCTAAGTTACATATATTTCCCCATATAATTTTTTTATGTACAATTGCCAATACGAATTCCTTTTCCTTTTAATTCAGAAATTAAAACGAAAAATTTAAAAATAGGACAGTACTTGATTTCATGCTTAAACGTTTTCATTAAACGCTCTATCTTTTTTTTTCTTGTTTTTTTCCCCTTATTTTATTTTTTTTCAAACAAAAGATTCTTATCAGCCAAAATTGTTTTGTATATGAATTTATATATTTACATTCTGAACAATAAAATCGTTCCTCTAAACTTCATTAAAAACTTTGTTTCGTGATTAGTCTCATTAACCAAATGTCAAAGCATGGATAAAACATATATGGATATAGTGTAGAAATAAATACAATACCCAGCTAAAGATATACAACATCTGAAAAGATAAATTATTATTGTCGACCTCACTTTGAAGAATTCCTACTTGTAGACATTTTGACTTACATAGTGTAAATTTGTTTTAAGTCCAGTAAATTAATTCTGAGAAATGGATATAAAGAAAACAAAACAATAATAAGACTTCATCACACTAACTGAAGATAATCCTCAGAGTTTCTTTTACTTCTACAGGTGACAGAATAATAAACACTGGTCATAATTGGTACAATTTGTCTGGAATGTCATTTAGTACCCCAGATATAGATACCAATAGATTCAGTGGTGATAACGGTACTGTTAATAACAGACGAGGAGAAGGCTGGTGTTCTAACTTGTGTTACCGCGCCTCAGTGGAGATAATGGTGCTGTTCAGTACGGACGAGGAGGAGGCTGGTGTTCTAACTTGTGTCACCGCGCCTCAGTGGAGATAACGGTGCTGTTCAGTACGGACGAGGAGGAGGCTGGTGTTCTAACTTGTGTCACCGCGCCTCAGTGGAGATAACGGTGCTGTTCAGTACGCACGAGGAGGAGGCTGGTGTTCTAACTTGTGTCACAATGCCTTCTTCCCTGGTCATCAAAGTACTGGCCTTGGTATCCTACAATAGGGACTGGGTCAACTATTAGGAAGACATTGATGTTGATCAAGCGCCACTAAGAAAACTACTCTAATTCTTTGATTGTTCCCGAAACAAATAAATCAATGGCAATGTGATAATATGTCATATGAATGATGAATGGGTTGACACTTCGTAAAAGAGGAAGGTACGGTTTGGGCCTTATTTTGCCCTAAAATTTTAATGTTTCCAAAAAGTTATGAAATTGGCTTAAATATAAGTTGAGTATATGAATGTGATAAATCATGAAAGAATATGGCATGAAGAAGGGCCATTCTGGAAATATGGCATCATTAATTTGGTATATTTTTAGGTTTTAAACAGAAAAAGCTCGAAATGACTCATTTCGGGTGTTATTTTCCTTTACAAAATAGTGTCCACAGCCCTCGCCTACTTCACTTTTCGTATATGTTATGTAAAATACTTTGAGATTCACATTTCTCAAAATCTTTGTGGGCAATACATGTGCTCTATATTATCTGAGAGAAAATTCCCGTGAAAATGGATGTCTTCTACATCTTTTTAAAAAGAATGTGGGAAAATGCACAAGTTTAGTGCGTCACAATTAGCATTTAGGAAGTCATGTTAGAAAAACGATTTGTATGCTCTAATTGTATGGAATTTCAAGGTTTCAGAAAGCACGAGTTTTAATTTCTTACATCACTTTCATATTTTAGAAAAATACAGGGCCAGATTTGTATTGAAACCGTCCCTTGTTCATTGTTTACTTTACCTATCTTCTGATAATTTTATGAGTATTTTTTATATGAACTGAAATCGCAGGTTTGAGCAATCAAAGGTTAACCTTTGTTGTTGATCTATCCTTTTATTTTTCTTTTCCCAACCATTTTTCTTACTGATGCAGACTATAAAAGAGAAAAAATGAAAGGATAATTCAATAGAATTCTATTATAAAGCAATTGATAGTTCATTAGAATTCTATTGTCAATGATAAAGCAATTGATAGTTCATGAGAATTCTATTGCCAATGATAAAGTAATAGATAATTCAATAGAAAACTATTATATATCAATGATAAAACAATGTTAATAAAATAGACATTATCATTTTGATCAATACTTGTGTTTTTTTAATTACAAGTTTAAATGATAAACATCTAAATAAAATGGGTGTATTTTGTACTGATAAATAACGAGATTAAATAATAAATCCCTAAATAAAAATGAAATTATTTTTTGTTCTATAAAACATGAGTTTAAATGATAAATAATGAAAATAGATTTAGATATATCGACGACGTATTGTCAATTAACAATGGCTATTTTCATTCTTATGTCGATACGATATATCCTGGTGAACTTGAGATAAAAGATACCACAAAGTCTGACACATCTGTTTCATATTTGGATATTTTACTTGAAAAAGACGTTAATGGTAATCTAACAACCAAGCTGTATGATAAACGTGATGACTTTAACTTTTCAATCGTTAACTTCCCTTACTTATGCAGCAATATACCTTCATCACCTGCATACGGGGTATATATCTCTCAGTTGATTCGATACGCAAGAGCATGCTCTACGTATGTACAATTTCTAAAACGAGGTAAATTATTGACAAATAAGTTGATGAAACAAGAATATCAGCTGTCTCGTTTAAAGTCATCATTTCGTAAGTTCTATGGTCGATACAATGACCTTGTCAGCAAATACAATTTATCATTGAGTCAAATGCTGACTGACGTTTTTCATACTAATTGTTAGGCCATTATTTACACACTGAATTGTCGGCGGATTTTTCCGTTATTTCCCGATCATGACAAGGAGCACACGGCGGGTGTGACCGGTCGGCAGGGGATGCTCACTCCTCCATGGCACCTGATCCCACCTCTGATGTTTGGAGGTCCGTGTTTGCTCTGCTCCTATTTTGTATTGTTTAATGGACTTTTGAGCTTGAATACTGTTCGTTATCTCCATATATTTCATACATATTTTGTGTTTATAAATAACAACTTCTAAAAATAAATCTGTAAATAGAATGGACATATTTTGTGTTTTTAAGTGACAAGTTTATGATAAGTCTGTAAATAGAATGAGCATATCTTGTGTTCTATAAAGAACAAGTTTGAAAAATGAATCTCTAAATAAAATAGATGTATTTGTATTCTATTGAGATTAACGAGGTTGGATCCTGATATTTAAAGTCTTAAACTTTTTTTGTCAAGTATATTTTTAGTTTCTGCACACATAGCTTAATTAAAACTCAAAACAAAAAATGGGGGTCAATATGCTTCTTTTGGCGCTACGGTACATTTAATATGACCTTTTTGCACTGAAATTTGTTTCTTAATCAAAAATCAAATCTTCGATGTTTTCCCCCTAATGTTTTTATCCAAATAAATCATGGAACAAAATAAACTATCAATCTATTAAAACAAGACACTTTAAAATTGTGACTAAGAAAAAATTTCAAATTTGACCTTTCTGCACTCAAAAACTGTGATTTTTCTGGCATTAAAAATCTAACAAGCAAGAAAATTACTTTAAAGTCTTAAACTTTTGCTGAATTTAGTCAGATTGATTAAAGTTATCTTATATATTCAGAAAAGAAAATCAAAAGCGGGGGTTTATGATGTAAATTTTTAGATGTTACTAAAAAGTGTTAATTTTATGTTAAAATTGGCTATTTTTTTTCCTGGACTTTCAGAATATATTTACTATATTTGTCACAATATAATGAAGGAATTCATAAGAAATAATTTAATAGATATTTCAGAACCAGCATAAAACATTCCACTGCAAAAACAGCTCTGTGTGCAACCAGCATGGAAAAACAGGAATCTAAACTAAACAGTACTGTATATATTTCAAAAGGGAAAAATTGATCATTTTCTCCTAAAAAACCTTCCGCCAAAAATATAGTTCCTGGCTTAATCCTATTTGAATGGAATTTGATCGCAGTTTTTTCATTGGATATAGTTTAATCTGTATTGTAGAATCCAGATTTAATGTTTGAACTTAAAAATGATGCAGAATTTTATAAATAAAGGTCCAGACTAAAATCTGCTCAAAAGCTCAGGATCGAACCTCCTTAAGCTAAATGAAAAATCGCTTAATGTAATGAGTGTATTTATTTTCTATAAATAAAGCGTTTAAATGATATACCCCTGAATAAAAGGGGCGTATTTTGTGCATATAAAAACGAGTTTAAAACATAAATCTCTCAACAAAATGAGCGTATTTTGTGTTCTATAAAGAACACGCCTAAATGATAATTCTTTCAATAGAACGGACGAGTTCTTTTTTTATTAATTAGAAGTTTGAGTGATAAAACTCTATACAAAATGGGCGTATTTTGTGTTTATAAATAGCGAGTTTGAACAATAAATATCTTAATATAATGAACGTATTTTGTTTTTATATGTAACAAGTGTATGATAAATCTCTAAATAAAATGAACCTATTTCGTGTTCTATAAAGCACGAGTTTAAAGGATAAATCTCAAAATAAAATGGACGTATTTTTAAATCGTTAAATGAACGTATTTGTGAATGGTTTAAATGATAAATCTCTAAATAAAATGGACGTCTTTATGAATGGTTTGATGAAGAACAATTTTAAATGATAAATCTGTCAATGGACGTATTTGTGTTCTATAAAAAACACGTTTATATGATGAAGGATTCTCTAAATAGAATGGACTATTTGTGTTCTATAAAGAACAAGGTTAAATAATAAATTTCTAAATAAAATGGAAGTATATTCTATAGAGAACCGGTTTAAAGGATAAATTCTAAATAAAAAAGGCTTATTTGTGAGCGTTCATCTTCTAAAGCGTCTTCTAAAGAATCCTGAGGATTCTGGAGTATGTATTTAAAATAAAGTAATTTTAAAAAATATTTTTTTAATTCTTTATTTGATACACAATCTGTTATATCATAATATAATACAAAGTTTAACATTTTTACAGACTGTGGTTTTTAAGAGAGAGAGAGAGAGAGAGAGAGAGAGAGAGAGAGAGAGAGAGAGAGAGAGAGAGTTGGCATGTTATCATGTATTTTAATTTTCATTTAATACATTAATAAGACTGATTCTTATCTTTAATATAAGAGATTTATAAAAACAATTGATTCCATTGATTCCAGTTGGTGTCAATACTTCTTTGTCTCCATTTTTGTATGATAGATATTTCTGAGTTTCATAAAAAAGTTTAATATGTGAAGTTGCAGGTCTGACATTTAATTTTTTCCTAAACATCTCCTAGTAGAAATACAGTATTTTATCCACAAGGCTAACAAGTTATGAATATCTTTGTTTTTTCCTAGAAACCCCAAAATAAAACTTTGTGAATGAAAGTTGCAGCCCTGTCTTTTGCTCACAATATACTTCAAAACTGTTAAGAAAAGTTTGTACATTATCACATTTCCATAGAACATGTATTGACATTGAACATAGAACATTGTTTCTTCTTCCACATTGCAAAAAGAACATAATTAATCATCTCTTTTCCTAATTTTATATAGATAGGAGTTTGTACCAAGTATTTTATTTAAAATTTTATATTTAAACCATTGAAGTTTACTATTTTTTGTAATTTTAAAAGGAAGTTTAAAAATCATCTTCCATTCATTTTTTCCCCAAATCAAAAATATCATTCCATCTTGTTTTCCCATTTGGTTCAACATCATTAACATTGATTATTTCATAAAACTGATTTGCTTTCTTACACTTTGAAAGAATATGAGTGCTAGACAAAATTAATGGGTTTGGTAATTTTGCAATAATATCATTAATGTTCGTTGCTTTCATCCATGCTTTTACAACATGTATTATACCTGCAAATTGTAAGAAGTTGTGCTTAACATTTGGATATATGTCACAAAAACTCCAATAACTGTAAAAGAAACCATTATAATCTATATCATCATTTATAAATCGAATATTCAGGTCATACATATTCTTATTATAAATAGCTTTCCCACCAATGACAATTTTAGGATTATAAAAGTCGGTACGTCTCCTGAAACCTTACAGTCAATAGAATATTTATTATTTAAAACAGTCCAAGCCTCAAAGACATCTTTCCAAAACTTGTTTATCAAATTCTTCATGATAGTTTTAATATATTCAATGCCACATTTTAATATTTTTATCAAATCTATATTAGGTAAAAAGTTTTGTAAACCTTTATCTGACAGAGTGGGCTGTTTCATCCAAAATAATTTAAGTGATGCAGTAAAAGCTTTAAGATTCATCATTTTTGTCCGCCTTCTTCATATTATTTTTACTAAGAAATCTTTCCTCACTCTGTGATGTAAACCATTCCATACAAATGAAAAAGAATAATTTTTCAAGTTCCTTCAAAAATTTTTCTGATGGGTTGGGAATAGCCATTAGTATATGATTTAAAAGAGGTAGAACAAGAGTTTTAAGAACAGTTATCTTCCCAATAGGTGTCAAATATCTCTTACTCCACTGGCTAATAGTGGCTTTTATTTGTCTTAATTTGGGTTCATAATTGAGTCTTTCAACTTCACTTAAATCAACATCATAATGAATTCCAAGTAAGGTAAATCTTGTACATCCCCACTTAAGATTATACTCATGACTTAATATTTCTTGACTATATTTTTTGGAACCAATCCAAACTGCATGGGATTTTGAACAATTGATATATAAACCAGACATTTCTGAAAATTTCTTTTAATATTTTCATTACTTCTGTCAGTGATTCTTTACTACCATCTAACAGAATTGAAGTATCATCTGCTAATTGTGATATTTTATTTTCCATGTTCTTTACAGTTATTCCCTTGATTTTTTTTATTTTTTCTTCTCAGAATTGCTAAAATTTCTGCACACAAGATATAGATATAGGGTGATAGAGGATCCCCTTGTCTACAGCCTCTCTGAATGTTAAAACGTTGTGAAAAGTTACCACTCTGATTATTCGTGGAACTTATATTAGTAGAAAACAATTTCACC